TGGCCTATTGGGTAGGCTAGCCTCAAGAACCAAGTCAATTTGATGTTTTATTTCCCTTAAAAGGGGAAGTCCACTTGGAACTTCCTCGAGAAATAGATCATTAAATTCTTTTAAAAGAATTTGAACCCCCTTAGATAGAGGCACGAGTTCAAAACTTGTGGCAGTAAGTATCTTTTTAACATAAAGAAGGTAAAAGGTTGTTCAACCAGAAGACATTGTTTAACGAATGATTTAATGAAACTTAACTTCAAGGCATAACTTCTTTGGAAGGGACACTACCTTCCAACTTTATCACCTTTTCTTCCTCCTTTTCAAGACCTAAGACATTTTTTTTAACTTTTTTTATCCTCATCAAAAAAAATTTCATAAATACCTGACCCTCAACACTTGTGAAGGTGAAAGAGAAGTCAAGATATGTTTCTTGCCTAGGAGTACTATGCGAATTTTATTAGTAACACCATCATGAATGACTTTCTTATCATATTGCCAAGGTCTTCCAAATAAAATGTGGCTTGCATCCATTGAAACTACATCACACAAAACTTCATCTTTATACTTTTCAATGGAGAAAGGAACATTTACTTCGTCCTTAACTTCTATAGGTCCATCCTCATTAAGCCATTGAAGTTTCTAAGATTTAGGATGGGCTATAGTAGTTAGGTGATGCTTATCAACCAACCTTTAACTTACAAAATTATTTCAAGCTCCACTATCAACAATGAGAGAACAAGTTTTCTTAAAAATTTTGCATCTAGAATGGAAAAGGTTCTCTCTTTATGATTGATCTTATTCACTAGGTTTGTTGGTAAGTAACCTTTGGAAAACCAATAGGTCACCACCACATGGTGCTTCCTCACTAGAGCTAAGGCTTGCATCTTATTCATTTCTCTTAAGTTGTTGTTCTATTCTCACACAAAGTTGAACTAGTTCATTTAGGTCTCTATAAGGAAATAGTTCAACCTTGTCCCTAATTTCTAAGACCACTTTGGAACCTTGCTATGGTGGTCCTTTCCTCTTTCCTTATCCCAACCCTCATTATAAGCTACTCCATTTGTTGCCTATATTCCTCCACACTTTGGTTTCTTTGTTAGAGTCATTGGAGCTTGTCCATGAACTGCCTCTCATAATAAGGAGGAATGTGCCTTCTCCTTGTAGACACCCAATTTTTTTCCGGACCTATAAACAAGGAAATGGACCTCTATTATGAAAGGAAGAAACTCCCAAAGCATGGATACAACATGATATGACAACAAGGGAGCTTGAGGCCCAACAAATTTGGTTTAGTAATCCAAAACGGGCTGTTCCAAAATCGGAACGGGCCATTCCCAAGATGGAATGGGTCGTTCCCAAATTAGAACAGGCCATTCCAAATTTAAAAAAAAAAAAACCAAAAACCCTAGTTGAGAACGGGCCAAAATGGGTTGTTCCAGCATGGTTTGTTATGAGACAAATTCAAAGCGAGAACAGGCCATTTTGTCATCAGAACGGGCCGTTCCAGATTCAAATTTAACTCATAACTGAATGACCCTGAATGGGCCATTCTGGTCAGGTTTGACGTCTATAAATAATAGACTCAGTCATTGCTCCAGGGGCTGGAAAAAATTTGTTCAGAACTCCACATAGCTCGAAAAATCTCTCTCTCTCCCCCTCTTTTTATATTTCTTGAGATTTGTGAGGTATTTGTGTAGTGTGTAAGGCAGCCAAAAATTGCCTCAAATCTCCTGTATTTGAAGAACATTAATAAAGGTTGCTACGAGGTATTATTCATCAATTTTTCTCTCTATCTTCCATTTCTTTTATTTTAAATATCGTTATAACAAAAGTAATCATATAGACATTCTAGGGTCAAATCGTATAATTTAAATTTCATGTAAATAGCCATTAATAAAGGGGATTTAATATTTAAACTATCAATTCTTATTATACTAAATTCATCATAGGGTAGCAATTAAGGGCGTTGTAGGGGTGCTTAATACATTCTCTACACGTAATCCACCCCCGAACCCAATTTTGGTTATCAAAGCCACTATTGGATTTTCAAAAACCTTTCTTTTCCCAATGTTTTGAGTAAAACATTGGTGGCAACTCCTATGAACCATTTTTCAAAACCATTAATTAGGGATTAGTCTGGTATCCCATTCCCTAATTGATGAGATTTTTAAAAGGTAGTCCAATCCATTTGGTCGTAAGATCATATTTTTCTGGGTTACGACACTCCTCAAGACATTCCTCATCTCATTCCAATATTGAATTGGAGGTTTATAATGGGTTCTTATTTCCCTTTCAAGGGAAGTCCACCAATACATGGCTTACCCTTGAAAGTTAAGGGTAGCCATGGGAATTCTTCTCTCTTCACTCACATTGTGGCAAGTGACGAGTTGTTCCACTTTCATCTCCCAATCCAAATAATCATCAACATTATTTTTTCCGTGGAAGGGAGGAAGATCAATTCTAGGTTCCCTAAGAGAGTGTGATTCATGCCTAGGCCTATGTTTCCTAGGGGTCTTTGATAATAGCCATCATCATCGTGACAACTATAAAACCCTCAATTGAGGTTGAGTGAGTATGTGAATGATGGCTCTTGGGCCGTGATCCTCGTTCCACATGTTTGCCTCTAGAAGGTTTGGAATTGTAGTTATATAATAATAATAATATTTTTTATTTTTTATATATTTTTTTTTATGTTGTTTATTGGTATACATAGGATTGTCTGCGTGTTTAGAAGGATATATCGATATATGTGATTAAAAAGATGAAACTATATGATTTGGAACGAAAAATTGACATGAAATTCTTAGGTTTCACATATAACTATTGCCTATTGGGTACATGTGGCCAACTTATCATTCTAGTTTTGAAACGTGTCGGGGAAAAATGTTATATAAGTGAAGATATAATGGGTCAGTGAATATTGTCGCATTAATGAAAAAGAAGAAGAAGAAAAAAACACGACTTGGACTTTAATTATTCTAGAAAACTATGAAGTGATGTGTGAATTGTAATTAATGTGAAAGAATTTAAGTTCGATGGATCGTTGTTATAAGTATTTTCACATTATGAATTAATTAAAAATTATTTCTGATACAAATTTTTAAATAATCATTACAAAAATCATTTTGATACAGTATATATTTTATACCTTACAAATATTATATTTTCTGTATTATAAAATTACGAACTCGCAGAAAATATTTAAAACTGGTGAAAATTTATAAAAATAAAAGAATAATTTTATCTTAGGAATTAAAATTAAAAATATTCAAACTTATAAATTGTTATATACACAAATTTAAAAATAAAAATAAATTAAAATAACGTGATACTTTTTTGATAAAAATAGAAACAGAAAATTAGTAAGTAAAATATGTCGTTTTTAAAATAATTTATTATAATATCTGGAAACTTTTTTGATTTTTACTTATTTGTTATTTGACAATAACTTGTATGTACGAATACGATGGTCGTTAAAATTCTAGAGCACAAGTGCATAATAGTCAGTAATTCATTATGGTCATTGACTGGTCCTAACATGCAGGAATATTTGAGTGGGTGGCATTAAGTAAGATAAAGAAGTTAAATACTAAATATTTATATATAACTATATAACTGGTGCTAGAGAACATCCAGTTTTTCCATTAAAAATGTCATCACTTTGACCTTTTCATTATATACAAGTAAATTATATCTGAGTCAAGTAAAATTAATGGAGCATATATAACTATTAGATTAACTAGTTAAAGAGGCATGAATATTGTAGACTTATACATGCTTATAATTAAGACTTGCGAAACTTCGTAATATTAAATGAATAAAAAAATGTATTTTAATACTAATAATCAATGATGTTATATATGTAAGAACTGGTGAAGGCTTTTTCAGAGGTTTCATATTTTGTAAGTCACATTGATGATACGGATTAGATTTGAAAATTATATCCTTTGTATTTAATATTATTTTATGTTTTGATCTTTATTAAAAAAATATCTTTTAATCCCTAGTTACAATAATAAATTTATTATGAAAATGATTTCTAACATGTATTTAGTTACTGTATATAATATTATAATAAGTTATGTATATATCACGGATTCTCAATTTAGTTTGTATATGTAAAAATTTATAATAAGTTAATCCTTATAGATATACAAACAAAATGATTTGATCCCTATTTTAGTTAACTCTTTTAAGATATTTTTAATTTCGCTCTTATATGAGTTGTGCATTATTAAGTTAGTCCATCTATATATATATTTAATATCTTTAACAATTAAAGTTTTATTTTTCTTTTGCTTATAATCAATATGGAGGATTTTTTTTTAAAATATATAAGTGCCATAATAACCTTAATTAATTAAGAGTTTCATTAAAGAATTATTGAATCAAATATTATCTTTTTTATAATATGTCACCAGTATATGTTTTTAGACAGTTTTCTTCACTTGTCAATGCCCTAATTAACTAACATGTAATGTTGTATTAAGATATATGTGTTTCAAATCCGAAGACTTTGTGTGTTCAATCATTTTTTTAAATAACATTTAAATGGTGGCATCATTATTATAATTGTACTCAAAGAGAGAAAAGATATTTACTTACTTAAAGGTAAGTTTTGATAGACTTATTTAACTTAATAACTCATATATTATACATCAAATTTTAATGATCTAATTCATTAAATTAAATTTTTTTAATGTATAGATCAAGTTTATAAATTTAAAAACAAACTTGAACTATATATTAAGAATTTTTAATTCAATAATTAGATAATTAAAATTTGACATAAAATATAAGTTATTTAATGAACTAAATCTACTAAAACTTATTGTGAGTATGTGAACATCTCTTTTTTTTCTCTCTCTCTTTCTCTCTCTCTATATATATATTAAGTCATAAGAGGATTAAAATAGTTAATTAACTTAAGAATCATGAAAACATATGAAAAGAAGCATTGACTTAACATGTTGAGTTGACTTTGGACAAGTTAGATTAGATTACGAGACTTACCAATATTTTATAGTTTTGCATCTTGAGCATAGTTTGGAGGTTGGATTACCACACACAGCACAGCCATTGTTACAATTCACAGTTCTATGTCGAGGCATTGCTGTTTCATCACTGAACTCATGATCAAAACTGTTTTCTCCTCCTTCGATATTGTAAACATCTCCCTTGTATATTTTCTGCTCAACTTCATTGAATGAGTACTTATCCTGCATAATTAATTTATTAATATTAAAATTTAAAATATATAACTTAACTAGACTAAAACAAAAAGAGGGTCATGATGACATTCGATATAATTTTATAATCATCCAATCATTCCCTCCCAATATTTTTTTGATAGGGCTGCATTATACATACAATTAACAACTTGTAATCTTTCCTAGAGCCCAACATGGAACTCTTGTTGAGAAAATATAATATCAACTTGTATATAATCATGTTGAGAAAATATATATAGAACTTTCCTATTGCAGCCAAACAGAAGAAATGGAAATTCATGTCAACTTGAATAAGACAAGTGACAATATGAAATAAAACTAATTAAGGAAATGAATGTCCAAAATGATATAGAGAAATTAACATTACATTTTTAGGATCCTTGAGAAGGAATTGGGTTCCATGAGATGGTGTTTCCTCCTGATTTTCTAAGACATCAACGCATTCGTATTTGTGGCATATCCTCCGGTGCATAACATGGCAAGCATTTGAGCTGATAAAATCAATAATAAAAGGCGTGCGTGTCATACCATCAAAACCAATAATCATAAAAAAGAAGCATAAAAAAATATGTGTAATAATAATAATAATAATAATAGTAAAAATAATAAAGTTTAGCTGATTACAAAGAAAAATCTCAAACAACAAATAAAAATGTGTTGAGAAAAAGGGCACCAAAAGAAAACTAAAAAATACACATATATGTATATGTATACAAAAGGAAGTCATATAAAAATGTTTTCAGGTAATTTTACGATCGAGAGTATATTTGAACTATATATATTTATATATATGAAGAAAAGAAAAGAAAAGGAAAACTAAATCAAGTAAGAGAGTGTAATAATGGTACACAGTATGGTAGTTGAATAAAGATCCCAATCATATTTCTTTATTTTCGGCGCAGTCTTAAAAGCCGCTAGAAAACTTTCAGGTTTTATATTGACCGAAAATACTATTGTTTTATTTATTTTTTTCATTTGTAACTTGTTTTAGGACAAAATATTTATTGTTTAAAGTCTGAATTTGGACCCTTGATAACTTGGACAAAAAATATAAATCGATACAACGTGTATAGGTTTTTGATTTTAACACTATATTATAATTAACATTGTATTTTCACAATCATATGTACATTAATTCTCAGAAAATCGAAAGGGCAAAAAGGGTGAATGAATTGAATTATACAGAAGCTTCAATTATTACCAATACATAGCAGTTTTGCAGCGTGAGCATCTTGAGTATACGTTGCTTAATCTGCCACAGAAGGAGCAAGCACAGTGTAAACTAGTGTTATCCTCATCATGTTGATAGAACACACTATTTATTTCATCACTGATCTGCAATAGTTCCTTCCATTTGGAGCAAGGATTGACCTCACTGGAATTGGTTACCTTGTTTTCTAGCCAGAAAAGCAACCCTAGAAAGGGTAATATCATCGTCAATATGATCATAACAACACAATTTAGATCCAAGTGTGCCCCATAAGCAAGCATCTATGCAGTGTGTGAATGATTTATTGCCTATAGGAAAGTTAAGGGAAGAAAGAGCGTGTGATGATTATATATATAGTTCTTCAGCATATCTAATTTATTATATAATTGGGATGGTTAGACCTTATGTTCATGGAAATTCCATGTCTTCTTCCGTGATAGTTGCTCCTATTATTTTAAGGGAAACTGATGAAAAAAAAAGAAAAAAGAATTGCTAGTAGGAATTGAATGAGAATAGGACTCAATGAAGACAGGTAGTTATTTCACGTCACTAATCTATTTAATGTGAGTTTTATGTATATCTATCGATATTTAAGGACGTGTAAAATTTTAAATAAAAGATAAGAAATAAAATAAATATAATATTAAATAATTTTAAAACATATATTTATATTTAAAAAATTGTAATATATATATATTTGAATAAATAATTATAACATAAATATTCAATATAAAAAAATAAATTAAATTACATTATACTTAATTATGAATATTTTTAATATTTTTAAATTACAAATATTTATTATCTGTAACGGGCCTTTTAGTAATCAAGTACCTATTAATTATCAATTTATAATTTATATTGAATTTTATGAGTTTTTTTTTTTCATTCCTAATTCCTAGGATCATTAAATGAGAACCAGTCGATAGAGAAAAACTAGAAAAGTAAAAGGCATGAATTATGGGAAACCAATAAACCATTGACCTATCTCAAGTTTTGTAAACTCAGCCTGAATTGCCGTACACGCTGATTACCTGACTTTTGCTATGTAGTATTAATTTTAATTTATCAACAAAATGTTTCACTATTTATTTGATAATTTTAAAAAAAAAAATGGTCAATATTATTTGTAAAACTATTTATTTCCCCATCCGACTCTTATTTTTTTTAGCCATCAAAGTTAAGATCTTTGAGTTTCTTGCTCGACTTCGAGGTATCTCTCTAAATAAATTTCGGTTTTTTAATTAGACCCACACTAGGACATTGTCACATTTCATATGTAACATCCATTTATGTCGATCTGGATCACCACTTTTACAGTAATATGTTAGAGCTATGAAAATAAAAAATAAAAGATATATTATTAATTTATCAATAAAAGTACATTAAAATAAACATTAACAAATGATAAATAAAATTAATTAAAATGAAAATAAATAAGAACAAAAGGCATATTATTTTTAGAGTGTTTAGTAGGGAAGAAATTTTTCTTTATCCAAGAATAATGATTCTTGCAAATTACAAATTATAGGAATCATAATTTCTGAGAATAACTCATTATATATATTTGATTACTCATAAATGTTTTTGATAATATTAATATATAATTTTTAGAAATTAAAGATTTTCATGTTTGGTTACAATAATATATTTCTGGGTGTATAAATATTTTTTACAAAAATATCTTTTATTAAAATAAACTCATTATATATATATATATATAATTATTTAAATATTATTATAAATATGAT